AGCCCCCCCCGGTGACGTGGGTGTCCCCAGAGATCATCGAGAAGGTGCGGCGGCCCCCCCCGCTGTGCCGCCCGGCGGTTTCGGCCGACCAGGCGCCGTTGGAATGCATCCACCTGATGAAGCAGTGCTGGAGCGAGCAGCCCGAGAAGCGACCCACCATCGACCAGATCTTCGACCAGGTGGGACCAGTATGGGGTGGGACGGGACCAGTATGGGGTGATATGGGACCTGGGGTATGGGGTCAGGTGGGATCTGGGATATGGGGTGGGATGGGACCAGTATAGGGTGGGTAGGACCAGTATGAGGTCATATGGGACCTGGGGCATGGGGTCAGGTGGGATCTGGGGCATGGGGTGGTGTGGGACCAGTATGGGGTGATGTGGGACCAGTATGGAGTGATGTGGGACCAGTATGGGATACTGTGGGATCTGGGTATGGGGTTGAGTGGGACTGGTAACAGGGTGGGGTGGGACCGCTATGGGGTGGCCAACCCCTTGGTATGGAGTGTGGGACATGAGGGTCCAGGATCCTATAGGGTTGACCCATGGCTATGGGGACATGGAGTTCTGTGGGGCTCTATGGGGTGCCGTGGGGCTCTTTGGGGTGCTGTGGGGCTCTATGGGGCACTGTGGGGCTCTATGGGGCTGGCCTGTGCGTATGGGGCTATAAGGGGGTTTCCTGACAGTTCAAGAGCATCAACAAGGGCCGGAAGACCAACATCATTGACTCCATGCTGCGCATGCTCGAGCAGTATTCCAGCAACCTGGAAGACCTCATCCGGGAGCGCACCGAGGAGCTGGAGATCGAGAAGCAGAAGACGGACAAGCTCCTCACCCAGATGTTGCCCCCGTGGGTCCCCGGGGCTGGGGGGGCTGGGGGGGGTAGATGAGGGTTGGTCATCACCCTATAGATCCCGTGTGGGTTTCTGGAGATGGAGGGAGTAGCCATGGCTGGGGGGTTGGGGTGGTTCCGCAGACTTTGTCTGGGTTCTGTGGGGCTGGAGAAGGTTGAGGTGGCCACTGGGAAGAGGTTGGGGTTGGCCATGGTCCATTGACCCCACCCAGGTCTGTGGGGCTCGAGGGGTGGCCACTGGGGGCAGGTTGGGCTTGGCCATGGTCCGTTGACCCCACCCAGGTCTGTGGGGCTGGAGAAGGTTGAGGTGGCCACTGGGAAGAGGTTGGGGTTGGCCACAGTCCATTGACCCCACCCAGGTCTGTGGGGCTGGAGAAGGTTGAGATGTGGCCACTGGGGGCAAGTTGGGGTTGACCATGTCCCCATAGCCTCCTCCCCCATCTGCGTGTCCTGTGACGGGGACCTCAAGGTCTCCCATGGGCCCTGTGGTCCCCAGGGCCACAACAAGCCGGTGGCTGTGTAGCCACATGGGACACATAGGTGTCTTTTGGGGTGGGGGGAAGACTCGGGGACCCTGGAGACCCCGACTACCTTAGTGGTGGGGACATGGGTGGTCCCCACTGAGTCCCGCTGTCCCCTCGGTGCCACGGCAGGTCAGTGGCCGAGGCTCTGAAGATGGGCACCCCCGTGGAACCCGAGTACTTTGAGGAGGTGACGCTCTACTTCAGCGACATCGTGGGCTTCACCACCATCTCGGCCATGAGCGAGCCCATCGAGGTGGTCGACCTCCTCAATGACCTTTACACCCTCTTTGACGCCATCATCGGCTCTCATGATGTCTACAAGGTGACAGGGCCACCCCAGGGTCGCGGTTCCCTGGATCGCAGCTCCGAACGCGGGGCGCGGCCACCAAATGAATGCGTTCAGGTGTCCCCGTGGTCCTTAGTGACATCTACAAGGTGACGTGTCCACCCCGTTGGCACGGCAGGCCACGGTCCCACCAGCAGTGGCGGTGCTTCGGCCACCTCACCCTACGGATACGGGGTCACGGCCACCGAATGACGGTGGCGATGGGTACCCAAGGTGTGGGAGGTGACCATGGCTCTGGTGGCCACAGTCCCCTGGGACACAGCTGTGTGCTTTGGCCACCTCAATCTGCAGATAGGGGACACGGCCACCAAACAGACACGGTTACGTGTCCCCAGGGTCCTCAAGTGACATTGCCAAGGTGACAGGGTGGCACTGGTGGCTTCCAAGGAATGTGGCCGTGCAACGGCCACCTCCATCTCCTCTCCCACGAACCAGGGATGGGGCCACACTCAGCGTCAAGGGTGGGGGGGTCCTCAGTGGCCATGGGGGCCCCCCCGCCCCGTGACACGTCCTGTCCCCCCATCCCCGGGGGTCCATCCCCACAGGTGGAGACCATTGGGGATGCCTACATGGTGGCCTCGGGGCTGCCCAAGCGCAACGGGAACCGCCACGCCGGCGAGATCGCCAACATGTCGCTGGACATCCTCAGCTCCGTCGGCACCTTCAAGATGCGCCACATGCCCGAGGTGCCCGTCCGCATCCGCATTGGCCTCCACTCTGGTAAGGCCACACCCCCTTCCCTGGGTAGTTCTGATTTGGACACGCCCCTCTGGACATGCCCCTTCCTAGCCATGACCCGTCAAGCCACATCACCTTTTGGCCAACATTCAACATGGCTGTCACTCATTGGCCATAAAACCCTTGGGGGCACCCCCTGGCCACACCCCTTAGGCATGCCCTTAAAGACCACGCCCACCTCCTGCCCCCACAACGGTCATGCCCCTTCTTGGCCTCACCCAAGCTCATCACCTCTTGGCCAACACTCAACGTGACCACGACTTGTTGGCCATAACCCTCGGCCACACCTCCCTTCCATGACCCCAACCGAGGCCCCACCCCTTCATAACCACGCCCCATGTGACCACACCCCCTGAGACCCCACCCTTTGGCAGGCCCCTGCGTGGCCGGCGTCGTGGGGCTTACCATGCCGCGCTACTGCCTCTTTGGGGACACCGTCAACACAGCGTCACGCATGGAGTCCACCGGCCTGCGTGAGTGTCCCCCCCTCCCTGACGGCCCCACACGTGTGTTTGTGTGTCCCTGCGTGTCCCCCACACGTGTGTCCCCCAACACAGGTCTCACCACACGTCCCACCACGTGTCCCCAACCCCTGTGTCCCCCAACATGGGTCTCACCACATGTTCCCAACCCCTGGGTCCCCTTCCTCACGTGTGTGTGTCCCCAACA